ATCTCGGCTCACAGCAACCTCCGCCTCCTGGGTTCAGGCAATTCTCCTGCCTCAGCCTCCTGAGTAGCTGGGATTACAGGCACGCGCCACCATGCCCAGCTAATTTTTTGTATTTTTTTAGTAGAGATGGGGTTTCACCGTGCTGACCAGGATGGTCTCGATCTCTTGACCTCGTGATCCACCCGCCTCGGCCTCCCAAAGTGCTGGGATTACAGGCTTGAGCCACCACGCCCGGCCTCTTTCTTCTTTCTTTTTTTCTTTCCCTCCCTCCCTCCCTCCCTGCTTCCTTCCTTCCTTTCTTTTTCTTCTTTCCTTTCTTTTTTTCTTTTTGAGACAGTCTTGCTCTGTTGCCCCACTGCAGTGCAGTGGCGCGACGTGATGTTGGCTCACTGTAACCTCCACCTCCTGGGTTCAAGTGATTCTCTTGCCTCAGCCTCCCGAGTAGCTGGAATTACAGGCGTGTGCCACTATGCCTGGCTAATTTTTATATTTTTAGTAGAGACAGGGTTCCACACTGTGTTGTCCAGGCCAGTCTCAAAGGCCTAGCCTCAAATGATCCACACATCTTGGCCTCCCAAAGTGCTGGGATTACAGGCGTGAGTCAATGTGCCCGGCCCTAGCTGCACTTTCAAAGCCACTATGGTGTTTTCTATTGAAGCTATAAACTCTAGGTATCCCCTTGTTGATCCTAATAGGGTATCTGTTGAAGAATAATAATTTCAAAATGATAGGCACTTTTTTTTTGATGAGCAGGGGCTTTTGACCCCAAAGCTTGAACTCTGACTACTGTGAAAATGTATAAAATCATCTGAGAATGACATAGAAGGCATAAAAACTTAAGTTTTATTTTTTTAAAAAAATATTGGCACACAAAGAAGTATTTTTAATGCGTTTTCTGTTGGAAATTACTGGTAAATTACTTCTTTACTTCTAAACCCTTTATAGACCTTTATGCATACATTTTTTTTTTTTTTTGAGATGGAATCTCGCTCTGTCACCCAGGCTGGAGTGCCACAGCCCAATCTCAGCTCACTGCAACTCCACCTCCCGGGTTTAAGCAATTCTCCTACCTCAGCCTCCTGAGTAGCTGGGATTACAGGCATCTGCCACCATGCCCAGCTAATTTTTGTATTTTTAGTAGAGATGGGGTTTCACCATGTTGGCCAGGCTGGTCTCAAACTCCTGACCACAGGTGATCCACTCGCCTTAGCCTCCCAAAGTGCTGGGATTACAGGTGTGAGCTATGGTGCCCCACCAACCATTTAATGTTGGTGTTACTGGTTGGTTTGTTCTTTTTTTTTTCTTTTTTGAGATGGAGTTTCACTCTTTTCACCCAAACTGGAGTGCAACGGCGCTATCTCAGGCCAGGCTGGTCTTAAACTTCTGACCTCAGACGATCTGCCTGCCTTGGCCTCCCAAAGTGCTGGGATTACAGGCATGAGCCACCACTCCTGGCTGCATACATATTACATCTTTTTTGTAAACGGGAATATAGTGATTTGTCATTTTAAAAATTTTAATGTAGAACCCCCAAAATACCTGTTGTGTATTATTATATTGAGTCATTATTATGGTTTCCTTAATGATTTGCTTGAAGAGCTGTCATATATGTACTACATTGTTAAACAATTTTTAGAAGATGTATTGCATATAAGGATGTATGGGGATGGGATGAGAGAGTAGAGGCTTATAACTTTGACAGTCCCTAATCAATTCTGCAAGTAGTGAACCCTGTGGTGGCATTTTGTTTCAGCGCATTTGCAGCCATGAAGTGCCATCTTGCCCAATATGCCTCTATCCACCTACTGCAGCCAAGATAACCCGTTGTGGACACATCTTCTGCTGGGCATGCATCCTGCACTATCTTTCACTGAGTGAGAAGGCCTGGAGTAAATGCCCTATCTGTTACAGTTCTGTGCATAAGAAGGATCTCAAGAGGTGAGATTGAGACATTTACTAGATTCGATCCCAGTCTGTTCACTCTTTGCCCTGCTACATATAAGTGTCCATGTTTCAGCGTTGTTGCCACAGAGTCACGTCAATATGTTGTTGGTGATACCATTACGATGCAGCTGATGAAGAGGGAGAAAGGGGTGTTGGTGGCTTTGCCCAAATCCAAATGGATGAATGTAGACCATCCCATTCATCTAGGAGGTGAGTTCTTTAAATTTTGGGGCAAATAATCCTGGGTACATCCTTTAAGGTGATTGAATGTATCTAAGTGTCAGAAAGTTAAGTCTTTGGGCAAGGCTTAAGCCCAAGGCTTAAACCCAAGCATTCTGGTAGGTTAGGATGGAGTTTGTAGAGGGTAGATTAACTCTCGGTTTCAGAGTTTTGTATGTATTGTTTAATGTATACATCTTTTTTTTTTTTTTTTT